TATATACATTTTGGTTATTTACAAAGCTTAAGGACATCGTGTCATTTTGCTCAAATATCTCAATTATTCTAAATATTTTCCTAAGGTCAATAGCGCACCAAGGGGAGGTTATGGCCAGGGGTTGACCCCCCAGACGTCTTATACTTACTTACAATTACAACCCTGTCACAATGGCTGTTGCACGATTTCGGGGACGCTTGAGCAACATGAGTTTTTTTTGGGGGGGGGAATTCCGGTTTGAGTCTCCCGCCAACGAGAAATCTTTGGCGCGCCAATGCCTCAGCTACCCATAGCGTCATATTCAAATCAAACAAAAAAACATACATGTACAAGTAAATAGCATGAAGGGTTTCTTTTCCGAAAGAAGATATATCCATTCGAAAAACTTTTAATATTTCCACAATTATGACATACTGAAGAACTTCAGCTTCAACTTCAGTGAATCACTTTTTTGATTCAATGAAGTTTGTTTATCTGTCTAAAAGCTGTTAACACTGACAGCAGGCAACTGAGAGAGGGAAGGATTCTGAAAGGTACCAAAATAGCACTTATCGAATTTTGGAAAAGAAACTCTTCTCATGAAAATAGTAGTTATAGCAACAGTAAACCTGTACGTACATTCCAATCAAAATGAGCATTAGCCACTTACTGTTCACATTTGCTCAGTATTTTTAGCCATGTACCTAAACAAATCTTTTACTGAAATCGTTTAACCTGTGGTAAAATGATAAATGAGAGTGATGGTAACAGCAACACACTGCACCGTTCCATTAAAACAATACGAAGTACAGTTTTACCACAAGTAACACACCGATTCAGCAAGCCTCATCAGTGTGTTCTCCAATGCCACAACAGGCAAACTCAGCGATCGTCCAACGAACCGGATAGATAGCGATTGTGACAGTAAACTGCATTATTCTACGATCCGGTAATCTGCTATGAGTCAACTGGTTAACAATGATTGTGTGCTTGGGGATTGGGGAATCTTGTATCGCTCTAACATAATGTTACTCACGTACAAAAACCACATCTTTGCCTTTATGAAATTGTGTACAAGCGTTACTATTTCAGATGTCAAAACTGGTAGTTCGCTTTCTTATTCAAAGCATTTTTTGTCAAATGGAATTTCAGACTTTTCATGGTCAAAGACAGCGGACTGAGCACGCAGTCCAAGACGTTGAGTATATACTCCCAGGTCTTTTCAGAACCACATACTCATAAGAGATATATTCCTTCGCATGGTGCAACCGCAAACCTTTCCACCTATTTTTTTGTCAAACTAGAAAGAACAATTACGATTCAAGTGTTTATACTCTTTTCAATGTATATATACAAACCTTACCTAAGTCTTCTACTAAAATTTTATAAAAATGCTTTAATAGCAGATTAACCCTAACAGTCCCAAATCCTCCAATTTCAATACGATTTTACATACACCCTAGGGGTTAGGGTTAGCCTAAAAGAATTTAAATCAAGAACAAACCAACTCATATCAGGATTGAGGATAGTTGTATGTGGGAAGAGCTGGGATTTTGAACAAAGGCTGCATCCGAATCTCTTGTCTATAGCTAGGTCTAGGTCTTCGCTCCATTGGAAATGCGTGGAGACGCGCAGACAATAGACCTATATAGCCGTAGCTCTGGAAGCCCCTTTCGGACACGGCCTAGGTCATAGCATCAACACTAAAACTGTCGCTGTTATCATAACTAATATAATATAGGCCTGACGGATTTACTCTTGGAGCATTCAGGACAAACTGGTCCCTTCGGGTTTTCCTGTTGACCATTCTCAAGGTAGAACACGTGACCACGAGGGCATCTCAGCCATCTGCCGACAGCAAAGGACAAGGTTGGTGTAGCGCTCTTATTGCCCAAACATCGATATACTCTGGATAATCTTCCGGTGGGGCTATCTTTCCTCGCTTGGTCGCACTTCAATTTGGCTACTTCCACAGATTTCTTGATAATGCAAAGGATGTCGTCGTAACGGGGACAATTTAGTACGGGTTCCTTGCATTTGGGGCAGAGTAAGGAACGAATGCCGAAACATCCATTCTTTAAGGGTTTAAGGAAACTTTCTACCGTTTTATCCAAGAGTCGGGTCTCGCAGAGGTGACCGCAATCTGATAGGTATATGAAAGTTTCCTTTCGGCATACGTTCTCATTTGGAAGTTTATCTCTAACTTTATACGAGTGCTTATCACAGACGACGCAGTATGGCGGACAAGGCTCACCACATACACCAATGCAGGCATGCCCACAAGTGCGCTTACAGGTGCATTGAAGAATGCATGCCTCAGACTCCAGCTGACGGTTCCTGATGCGATGTGGACACGGGAAGGTCGTTAGATCCCACAAATCGTGCTTAATCGAGAGAAAGAACTCATCTTTGGGTTTTTCTTTGTCCATGCAGCGTTCGCAGTCTGATGGACAAATTCTTCCACAATCGTCCGTGCAGGTGTGACCACAAAGAAGCTGCCGCTCACATGTTTCGACGCATGTTACGTGTTGTTTACCTTGTTTGCAGTCAAGACAGGTACCGCGACATGTGTGACCACACGGTAAGATGGTGGCGCATGGCTCCAAACAAGATTCGGCGGAGTTCTGTAACCAGCAAGCCACTTCTTTAAAATGCCCACACGGCAAGATTTTCTGGACAATTACTTCGCATTTCGTAAAGAGTGGCTGATTCCTTGCAACTTCATCTTCACTTGAAGAAGCATCCTCATTTGAAGAAGCACACTCATTTGAAGAAGCTCCCTCATTTGAAGAAGCATCTTCATTTGAAGAAGCATCCTCATTTGAAGAAGCATCCTCATTTGAAGAAGCATCCTCATTTGAAGAAGCATCCTCATTTGAAGAAGCATCCTCATTTGAAGAAGCATCCTCATTTGAAGAAGCATCATCTTTACGGCAATCACTGCAAGTGTTGGGGCATTGGTGGCCACATGGAAGAATCTCTTCACACCTTTCTTTGCATCTTACTGTACTGATACTTTTGTAGCAGGGAAGGTCGACACTGTGGTCACAATCCATGAACTCTTTTCTCACAATTTCAGTACATCTTCTTGCTGGGATTCGAGTCCCTGAAGAGCCAAGCGAACCTCTCGATTCATCTTCGTCTGTCGAACTGCCCTCCTCTCCAGGGCAGAGCTCACCGCAGTTATTGGGGCATTGATGTCCGCAAGTAAGTTTCCTCTGACAATGCTCTTTGCATTCATAGGAGTTTGGATCTTGGTGGCAGGGAAGCTCAGTGGAATGCTTGCAGTTGGGCAACTTCTTCAGAACACCACGAGAACATCGACACGCCATTCCGCATGTAGTCAAGCACATGTGGCCACACGATAACTTCTTGCCACAGATTTCAGAACAGGACAGTAACGAAACATCCTTGTAGCATTCAACCTTAGCAGTATGGCCGCACCCAGGGAGCTTCTTCTCGACAATTTCGTCACACTTTGTCGAGAACCTTACTGAGTATATATTTGCCACTGCAACGCTTGCGCAAGGTTCACCACATTTATTGGGACACACATGACCGCATGGCAACAATTTCCCACAGTCTTCTCTGCAAAATGAAGAAAAATCCCTCCCGTGCATGGCATAAAATGTCATGAGAGTGCTACTCAAGTTCTCAATAGGACAAGGCTGAGAGCATTTCCTGAGACACCGATGGCCACATGCCAACAACTTCCTACATATACCAGCGCAGGGGACCTGGGACACATCTTTGTGACAAGGTAACTTGACGACGTGGCCGCACGAAGGATAAATTTTCTCAACATCTATCTCACAAAGCTTTATTCCAAGAATCTCAGGATCTGAGGTGATCAGACTACTTTCAACTCCAGACACAGTGCACGGCTTCCCACAGTTATTTGGGCATTGATGGCCACAACGAAGTATTTTGTCACACCTCTCAATGCATTCTTCAGAATCGGGATCAATGAAGCAGGGCACAACTTTCAGATGACCACACTTCCGTCTTTTAGTCACGGGCGTCTTGCACTCTACCTGCCCAGGATCTTCACGGCAGGCCATGACGACATCATGACCGCATACTGGGTGTGCTTTCTTCACATGTGTATTGCACTCGATATCGTCCAGGTCTTTGTCGCAGTCCATGATGGCTTCGTGTTGACACTTTGGCAATATTTTCTTGACCTTTATTTCACAATATTGTGTGCAGGTTTCGCTGCAAAGCTCTTTGCATGGATGGCCACAGGCAAGTTTCCTCTCACACTTTTCAGGACAAACATCGGAACACAGCACACCACATTTTTTTCGGCACAGGTGCTTACAGCCTTCAAAGCGCCTGAGACATGGTTTGGGACAGGATATTTCGGTCTGGTTGCAGTCCATCAAAACTTTGTGACCGCACTTCTCCAAAGTTCTCTCTACCTGAGCTTTGCAGTACCTATTGCACGGTCTGCTACAGAGCTCTGAGCATGGGTGACCACATGGCAGTAACCTCTCACAATTTTCTGGGCATGTCTTCAGACAGGGTTGACCGCAGTTTCTTCGGCAAGAATGGCCACAGTTGGAAAAGAATTTTGGGCATGGTTCAGGGCAAGATATTGTGTCATACTGACAACACGGAACTTGAATTTTATGTCTGCACCGGGGCATCACTTTCTGAACCTTTTCCTGACAGGGATTACACTCTTGATGGCATTTCAGCATACACCGATGCTCTCCTCTTCTACAATACCTGTCGCAAAGTTTAAGACACTTATATTTCACATGGTTGGGATCACCAGGGTGGCAAGACAAATGACAAACATGGCCACATTGTAAGTTATAATCACAGGACATGTCACATCCACCTAAAGGTACCTTCTCCTTAAAGTCTTCGGCAGTGGCAACCTGTGATATTTTCTTGGGATGATTTTGACACACCAGCGGCAATGACCACTCAATTTTATTCTGGGCCTCTAGGGCAGAAATGATGTCTTGCCAAATTGGTGCCCTTTTCAAGATCGTGAAATTTCCTATACAATAAAAACCTATTCGAGCCCTGGATAGCGCTACGCAGATGCGGTTAGAGATGCGGAGAAACCCAATAGAGCCTTCTGCGTTGCTCCGCACCAGCGATAACAGTATAATGTCGTTCTCTTCACCCTGAAAATTGTCTACGACAGTCACCCGAACCCCGTCAAAGTTTGCTCTATCCATGAGTCGCTTGATACAGAACATCTGACCTTTGTAAGTCGTCAGTATGGTGATCTGGGAGCGCAGGTAACCTTGATCTAACAGGTACTTGCATAGACCAACCAGGACTTCTGCTTCGTGCTGATTAGATCTGGTTCTATTGTCATCAAGGCCATCTTCCAACCGTCGATGGTTTATGAAAAACATGCTGTGTAGCATTCCTTTAATGTTCTCCATATTCAGTACAGATCCATGATCTTGCAGCCGCTTATAGAAATGCTTCTTCATGAGCTCTGAGATTTCGGGGCGCATGCGATGTTGATGTGTCAGTGAAGTGAAAGGCATGTCATTGTTGATCATTCTCTCGAACAAGGAGGTGTCTAAGTTGAACAACTTCGCAAGGCGGTAGACGGTTGGGTTGGGCTTCAGCTGTTGATGGTCACCGATGAGAATGAGATGCTGACACTTTGCAGTCAGGGTTGTGATGATGTGCGCCTCCAATACCTCGGCAGCCTCTTCTATTACCACAACAAGAGGCCCAAGAAGCTGAAGTACGTTGCGACATCTTGCAGCGCCCGTTGTCGTCATACCAATCACGTTGGCTTCGCGGAGGATCTCGAGGTCCTCTTGAGCTTTCAAAGTTTCAATATCCTTGGAGAGTACATCGTATCGTTGCCGAAACTCACTCAGTTCCACCCCATGTTTCTCCTTGTATAGTTTGATCCAGAGCCTGTAGAGACGCCAGCGATCACTCAAATTAAGTTTCCAGATGTGTTGAGTTGTGGCTGCCTCTTGAGCCGTCATTGCCCCAGACTTCTTCATCTCTGTTGCTGACTTGGAGTCTAGAGTATACTCTGAGTCATGTGCAGCGTCTTCATTAAAAATCTCGCACTCAAGAGCTTGAGTGCGTTGATTACGATCCTCGACAATATCCTCAGAGTCGTCAAATTGACGCTCTCGCTGAATCTCCGCTCCCTCATCATCAACTTCCACAAATCCTCCAGTATCATTGGGAGTTTCCGACGGGTTCTGCTCCGGATCAGCAACTTCCCCCTCCTTCTTACTAGAACATGCACCAACCTTGAGCCAATGCAAAAGATTTGATGATCGTTTTTTGATTGATTTCTCGTTCTTCTGGCGACAGTTTGAAGAGAGGTCCCTATAGTTGCTTGGGCTCATAAAATCTCTAAGCGCCACTACGTCAATGATAGCCTTGTCTGGAAGACCGACTTTAAGGAAAATGCGTTGAATTGCCTCATCAAGCTGTGCTAGTTCTTTCCTCATTTGTTCGAGTCTCGCCTTCTCTTCCTGATACCTACCGTATGAACTCTGTCTTCGCAAGCGGGACAGGTTCTTATCCTTAAGTTTTTCACTACAGCTACGATTTCCAACACGAACTACTTTTTGTTCTCCAAAGTTAATGATACCCTCAAGGAACTGATCAAGGGCGTGATTCGTGCAGCATACCACAAGGATTGGTGAACTGTTTACTTCCTCAGTTTGGTTGTTACTCCAGGGGGTGTTATATAGAAGCAGTTCAACTATCTTTAAACCTATGTATGTCTTTCCTGTACCCGGAGGTCCTTGTATGATGGCAAACTCCCTGGTGAGAGCTGTTTGCAAGGCATGTTTCTGGGAGTCGTCAAGGTGTAGGACCTCTGCACTCGGCCAATTCTCACAGTCCAAGATTGGTACATAGGCTGCCTCTATGATTTGTTTTACGTCAGGGTTGTGAGCATCAGACTTCTCATCAGAACGGAGAACAAGTGGTCTTAGATCGTATGTAACGTCCTCATCAACTTGTAGATACTGAGGTGGCTGAACCTGTGTGGCTACATCAATGATGTATTTCCTGAAGGGGAAGTTCTTCTCGTTCATTTGCTGCAGTCCGAAGAGAACGTGTCTATAAGCCTCAAAATAA